TTCTCTGGAACCAATTCCTTTTCACCCTAAGGACTACTGCCCCCCCCCCCCCAAATTTTATGCAAACTCAGCAGTACTAATATTAGAGAAATGGCATCATATTACGAAAACAGAACCATGAATGATCTGAACTGGAAACAATGAAAATTCTGCCTTCCTGCACATGTAAAATACCTCATATGGATTCACTTGATCTGCAATCCAATGACAGGGAATGGCCCTTTCAAGATGATGGAGATGACCTTCAATCAATTACCTTCAGATACGTTCAACGTTCTTGAGGAATTAGGGCTCCAATATTTGCATTTTTGCTGCCATTGCTGAGGCTGGAAACGCTACAAATTTTCTGGAAGTCAGAAACCTATATTACACCCTATGATTGATTTCTCAGATCACGTGTACTTGGAGAAAATAAATTATAAGTAGAAAATATATATAGCATACCTGTAGACTACGGACCGAGAGGAAGAGTGTTGAAGCAAGATTTTACCCCAAATCTTGTAGTCCGCAGTCTACCATTCCTCATCCAAGCAACGCTATGTATTCGAATTTGAAGAGAGATTGTTCACCGTTGAAGAAGCCGAGAGAAGAAGAAGACGGAAGGTTGAAGATGGGTGAGAGGTTTTTTATTTTGGTTTTTGATTTGGGTGAGGGGTTTTTGAGTTGGGCTTTTGGGCCTTTTTTTGTTTAGGGGATTGGGCTTTTTTGGACCCTTTATAATTTGAGGCCCAAGTGGCCTTACAGGCCAAGGGCCAGGACCGGCCCTGTACAATTCTTGGGCCGGTTTATTTGAATTTGAAGGAGAAAGTTATTTTACAAGATAACAGTACATGGGTCTTTAGACAGTTTTACATAATTAAAATTACTTTTCTTTTATTCATTTAAGGGTATTTGGACAAAATGTTTGTGAGGATTCGGCATTTCAACTCATAATCTGGAAAAATTATGATTTATGTATCCGAGCCTTCGGAGTTCGCTTTTCTGTTTCGCTCTCAATGAAAGTATGAGCCGCGTGCACGTGAATTTGCATTGCCGAATTTTGGATAATATAATCATTTGTTTCTTTTTTATGTCAATTTTCAAGTATTTAATTATTTCTTCTTATAATTGATTAAACTAGGTCTCCAAATTGTAGTGCAAGAAATTGTCCATTTTGTGTTCATAATGGTGTTTATTTTAGTGAATTTCAAATCCAAATTTTTTTTGGGTGCAAAATAAGAGGAATAATAGGTTGGGAATTTCTTTTTTCTTTTTCAAATAATTCTTGATTTATTTATTGCCTTCAGAATCCATAATTAGAGGTGGAAAGAGGAAAGAAATGCGGAAATTGCATATGTTTTTCGCTCTCTGATTATTCAAGACGTGCTTAGATGATTGTGGATATGCCTCTCTATACAACTGAATTTGGTATTACTGTAAAATGGGTCTCTTATTTTACTTGTTTAAATTGTTGTAGAGAAGGATTTAAGGAGGTGTGATAAAGAATCCTGTCAAAGTCCAACAGCAGGGTTCTCATTGATGAGTAGTGATGTATGCTTACAGAAAGTGTCTAGCTATTTCACTCTCGGAGTTAGCTGACATTGTAAATTTTTATTGCTGGATGACATTTGACAGAAGGCAATTGACTTGACTTGCACAAAATAATAGCTCAACTTAACTGTCAAACAAAAAAAATTTATAATCTCAAAAGGGAGAGAATTTTAGTTGGAGTGAACTATGAAGGAAGTTGAATGAGACAAAATTTTGCCAGAGCTGCAGAACTGAGATATGAACTATTTGGGAGGCTTGAAGCAAGTGTGAACGAGAATGGAATTCTTACACATATTTTGGACCGTATCATAATGCGGAAGTCGCGTGTTGCTGTTTGGGAGGCTTGAAGCAAGTGCGAACGAGAATGGAATGCTTACACATACCTTGGACCATATCACATTGTGGAAGTCAAGAGTAGTAGGACTAGTGGCATGAATCTTGGCCAAAATGAAAATGAGAGATTGATTGCTCTTGCTGGACAGAATCAAGCAGATCTAGCCATTGCAGAGGCTGTGAGACTATTGTTGGTAACACAGAACTTGCCAAGGCTTTAGCTGAGCAACTAGTTGGTGATAATAATCTGGTGATCAGAAATGAAGGGTCTATTCACGGAGCATCACTCCATTGCCCAATTGAGTGGAGCTCCTCCTTGGTAAGTTTTATTGCATTCAAGTTTTAATTCAGCTTTTTGTGAACTGTGATGAATGACGACAATAGCTAATTGGGGTGGCAATTTATAATCTATTATGTGGAAAATTTTCAAATTGTTCCCCATCACTAGAGTTGAGTTCGATGGAAAAGGGCCTGAGACACCCAAAGCCTAATCCTGAATCTAGACTTTTTCCAACTTGACCCATATTTAAGCCGTTTCATTTGAAATTGAGCTGGAAATTCTGCCAAAAATGAAACTAGACCCAGTCTGGTTGATTTTGGCAAAGTCATTTTTCTATGCCCTTTGTCCATTTTGAATTATATGGGCATACTTTAGTACTTGTACTTGGTTCTCCTGAGCCGTTTCTAGTCTTTTATCTGGTTGATGGTATTTTTGTTTTTAGGAAAATAGTTATGATGATGATGTAATAAGTATAGTATCATCCATCTGAGTGGCTATTGCCTGTGTGTATTTGTCATGTGGGCGCACTTCTGGTTGCAATGAATCTAAATAATAGCAAAAGCAAAGTTCCATAATGACTGGAACTATAGCCGATAAATGTCATTACAAGGTCTAGCAAAAAGCCAACTTGAAGTTTGTTTTTTGATGGTTGCTGGAAAATAATTTAATTAAGGTAAATGACTAGAGTGATCCTGAAGAAGATTACAAAGTTCCCTCCAATTTGGTACTCCTAAATCTTGTTATCTTTGGTCTTTATGATTGCAACTTGACACTATTACATGGACCCATTGATACTTATGTTCATGGACACAGCCATCAGTAACTTCAAATTAGAAACACTCTAGAGTCTTGTCTTAATATGTCGGTAGAAATGGATGTCAAAAAGATTATTATTGTGAGCTGCCTGCATTTCTAACATATTTCTACCATTGTATTTGTAGTTACGGCAAACATAACTTTGCCTTAGGCAATAATTGAGAGTATGCAAGCTGGAGGATGGTAATTCAACGAACGATGGGATGGTTGTAGGAGTGGTGTTTCTGGTGGATGTAGATTTCATTTCAGGCTCCGGGCTTATTTGAAATAAGGATGATTATCCGAGTTAAGGACATTGCATTAAAAATCGTCAGAGGTAATAGATTGAGGCAATCCTGAAGGGTATTACATAAAGCTAGGCACTTTTATTATTCTTAAATAAAATTCTCTCTCGGAGCGAGCATATTTATGTTTACATGACTGTACACACAACCCATTGAGTTAGAATTGAATTATTTTCCTTGTATAGTTTGAAATCAATATAGCAATAGAGTTTTATTGTTTTCCTATTCTAAATATGATGGTACTTATATTTATATGATTGATTATATAGAATATAATCAATAAGTACAATTATATTTATATGATTGATTATATGGAATATAATTAATAAGTACAATTATAATTTGTTATCAGAGCACTTAGGTTTCAATACTAGGGCTTCTAAATTAGGGGTTCAAATTTAGCCCTAAATAAAAAACTTTAAATTTCAATTTCATCAAGAACCCCGAACCTTAACCATACCTGCGGCAGACCCTTTATTCGTCAATTCAAGACCTTCGGCGACTGCAAGACTTTTCCAGTGAAGCCTTCACTCCAAACTAGCATTCCGACAAGATCTAAGAGGCTTTGCGACTTCTTCGACATGGTCTAGGAGGCTATGGGACTTCTACAACATGGTCTAAGCTACTTCAATACTGCTTTGTGACCCCTATTGTGTGCAAAGCCCTTCCATGTCACTATTGAATTTCCAT